GATTTGAACTCCTCTTCCTCGTTGGCCTGCTCCTCTTCTTCCATGGCCAGCTCTTCTCCCTCCTCTGACTCGAATTCCTCTTCCTCTGACTCTGCCTTCATCCATTGTGTTTGTTTGGAATCTTCAGCAAACTGTGCACTCTGAACTTGCTTTTGTACATGTGGTCACAGCATTAGCAACAAGTGTCTTCAATTTGGAGTCGTTGTGTGTAATGAATGACGCCAGGTGTGTTCATTGTGTTCAAATATTGCTGACTGTGGCAAGCATTTTGCACCACATGAGCTTTCATTTGAGAATATGAGCAGAGTTCTTTTGCAACTTGTGTTTTAGCAAAGAAAAATGTGTTAAGATTTATGAGAACGGAGGATTGTGTTTTGTGAATTGTGTCTTCATGTGAAATGTGTTTATGATATTGGAAAATGATGGCTAGATTTAGTAAATGTGTTTAGACAACTGGTCATTTGGTTTAGAGGATTGGCTTTTGTGTTTTAGCATTTGAGAAAAACTGTAACAACTAACTATGACTGAAGCAACAGGACTTTGCAACCACAACAGAGTCAAAATGTGTATATAATGTTTATGAATACTGCCTCTCCTCCTTCTGCCACGCTTCCTGCCTTTAATTGCACTATTCTGTTGTCTGTTACCTAAAAGACACCGAGAGCCTCTGTGGCAGAGACAAATTCCTTGTATGCTCAACATACTTGCCGATTAAAGCTGATTCTGATTCTGTGTTGATGATTTCTCCAAATTTCACATGTGCAGACGCTGAGAGTGATGTACCCCTACATGCCTCAGAATGAGGATGAGCTGGAACTGGTTCCTGGAGATTTTGTCTTCACGTCTCCAGTGGACCAGACTAGTACCAGCGAGGGCTGGGTGTATGGAACCTCGCTGGCCACTGGGCTGTCTGGCCTGCTGCCTGAGAACTACGTTAGCATGGCTGATGAGTCTGACGCCTGGATCTTCCATGGGTGAGCGGGGCACCTAATACTTGTATAAGAGGAGGCCTTAATTATGCAAACAAAAGAAAAAACAAATACATTTAGTGTTGAGTTCAATTAGGTCTTAAATAATATCTTTACTATTTTACTATTCTCCAGTAGTTCCCTATCTAATGATGGATATGTCAGTGTGTCTAACACCTTAGTCTACAAGGAATGCTGGCCATTTTACCATTAAATTTAGTGTGGACAGTCTTGGTCCCTGAGAATGATTCTGAATAATTTTGGTGACCCCTTAACTTTTCACTATGTGGCCACTTGGTCAAAGGTTGCAGCACAAGAAATGTCCAAATGTATTAAGCAAGTTGTCATTTGTTGGTGCAGATTCCTGCTCTCCAGAGGATGAACCCCAGTGACTTTGATAAATCTCTTTATAATCAGTCAACAAACATGTAGTATATACCTCCTTTACTCCCAGATTTTATCTTTAGTTGTTAGATATACAAAATAGAAAAAAGGGAATTGTCAACCGTTCACATGTAGTATATATCCTAAACAGGCCTTCCAAGGTATTCCATTACATTTATATTTAAACAACACTGTACCTTAGATAATACAGAAATGATTTCCACTTGCCAGACACTAGGTTTGTCTATTTTTAACCCAGATGTCAATGCTAATAACCTGATTTTTTTTTTCAAGTATAGGAAATTAAGTAGCCTTGTTTATAATATAAGTACATTTAAAACTTGTTTGCTCTCAAATTAAGATCAATAGTTTGTGGTATAGATAATGGATGGATGAATGGATTTTAAATACTTCCACATGCAATGGATTACAGTTCTTTTAAATTCAATTACAAATTAAACAAACACAAAAAATACTGTTTTATATTATATTATATTATATTTATTTTGTACATACTGTCCTATAAACCTATATTTGCTCCTAAGAGCATTTAGCTGTTTGTAAGGTGGCACAACTGATTATCCTATTTGTTGGAAAGTTAGGAATGTTACTCTGTTCCAGGACCAAATAACTTTGTTAGATGACAGTTTTCCTCAGTTTATTCCCAAGCTGTCACATTTGATTTTTTTCAGGAAACAAAATCTCAAAACCCTCTTTGGCTCATGTTATGTAAATCTTGTATAACAGAGGGATGGAGGGGTATTTAATAATGCCTTCAGAAGAAATGTAACATTGCTCCCAGGATATGTATGATTTCGAATCTGTTTCACATATAATGCCAAAGTACTCCATGGATCAGCTTTTCTTAACTGCCAGCTGAAAGAAATTATTCAGTTTGTACTGCAGACCTGATGTCTGTTCTCCCATCCACCACAGCTCCCATTCTTTCTTCAGCTGTGGGCCCAGTGACAAGACCAGCAAAGAAAGAGGGATGTCTGATGGACTGCTGGACACTCGACGCCCTGACAACACCTTTCCTGGAGACACGCCCACCCTCGGTCTGATTTGTCATCCAGTGCAGGTAGTTTTTTGTTCATAACTGATAATTGTTTCCAAATAATAGTGTGCCTTTGGTGTATATTGTTTTAAGCCAAAATTAAACATATATAATAATAATAAATTAGGATGGCACTAAATAGCAAAAAGTCACTTTATTCTGGGAGAATAATTTCTTGCTATTGATTGTGACCGTAATTCATGATTACTGGGCAATACTACCAGGATAACAGCAATTTTTCCTGTGCTCAGTGGAATCCGTACAGAAAAGATCATATACACACGTTTCCTCAAAGTCCTCTCAGTTAATAAACCCTTTTTTCCAGCAGGTCCTGCGGCTCGGTGGTAGTCACTCTCGGCAGCCCAAGCGCACACTTTTTGTCTGCCGGCACGGTGAGAGGATGGATGTGGTCTTTGGCAAACACTGGCTCTCCCTCTGCTCAGACAGTAAAGGTGAGCACATGTAGTGTTGTAACGATACCAACATTTTGGTACCGGTACCGGTACCAAAATGTATTTCGATACTTTCGATACTTTTGGATAGTTTTTCAGATAAAAAGAGAACGCAAAAAATGTCATTACTGACTTTATTTTAATAGAAAATCTTAGAATAACATCAAAATAAAATTCAAAATACTAGGCTTTTCTTATTGCACTCAAAAAAAAAAATTTTTAGAACAGTCAGTGTGAGTAAATAAAAAGTATGAAGTTAGAAGTTCTAACTTAGAAAAAAATATTTTCATTACATATAGCCTGTCTTAAGTAGGACCAGTGTTTTTAAATGGTATGTTACCAGTCTTTATAACATATTAAAT